CAACCCCCCTCATTCCACCCTTTCCTAAAAAAATAATTATTAATTAATTAAAAAGGCAATACCTTTGTTTTAATATTTGAAAGCCTGAGGTATTTTGAAATTTTGGCTAATTGCATTTTTCATGTTCTCTTTCTGCCTCTATTTCAGGATGGAATGGGAAACTTGAGAATCACAGAAAAGGGTCTCAAGCTAGAAGGAGACTCAGAATTCTTACAACCTCTCTACGCCAAAGAAATCCAGTCCAGACCGGTAAGTTTCTGCTGAGAGATGGGATTATTGTTCGTCTGGACTCTAAATCTGAGGAAATTTATCTGCCATCAGGTGATTATAGAGGGTGGAGTAGAGGTGATAATACAGGTAATGATTTGCATTCAAATCTGAAGTCCTAAGTGTAATCACAGCTCAATTAAACTGTTGAGGATCTGAGAAGTAGTATCCACATAGTTATGAAGTAGTAGGGCAAGGATTTCAACTCCGAAAGGTAATTCTGAAGCTTTTCTGTTAACCACAGTCTCCTACCTATGTTTTTGTCATTCTTTTTCTTTTGCCATGATAGTAGTGATTCCTTGTTACCTTGCTTTTATGAACTAATATTACCAAAATTAATTTCTGTTTGCGAGTGATTTTGTTTGGTTGGTTTTGTTTCTTTGTTTTTTACTTTTATTATTTTGGATGGGGTAGTAGAATTTGCTGGTTGGAAGGATTATTAATGCATTTGCTCTGCCCGGATTGATCGTTGTCCACCTGCAAGCAAAGAGTAACGGGAAAGTTCCTCAAAGCATTATTTGCATTGCATGCATTGATCACCATAATTAATGAAATTCAGCAACTTGATGCAGAGGGTAATTTTGTCTGGATGCCATCTAAACTACTGAGTTGTATTAAACTGAGTGCAACTACTGAATTGCCAATTAATTTATTTCCTTGAGAGTTAGGAAAAGGAAGGAAGCTGTGATGTTAAGGTCATCAAAAAGAGCAAATCAATTCAGCTACACGATGATTATGAAATGTAACTAGAACTCATAGCATAGTGGCTTGAGCACTTAAAGTACCAAGAGTATTGTAAACATGTTCCTTGTCTTCGAGGAAGCTATATCCTAGAAGGAGTAATGGGCCAAAACTGTAATGAGGAGAGTAGGGTGATGATTTTGCCTTGGACTGGAGACAGTCTATTTTAAGCGTATAAGAATACCTGTTAAATGCACTTCTCTTGCTTTTTATTTACTTCTCCCATCCTGGCAAGTTAGTCAGTTACATCATCAGTTTGAGTTACTAGTTATACTTTAGATTAATAATTTTATATTAAATTCGTTTAACTCATTGGTTTGGACTGGCCATTTCCCTCTAATGGTTTTGGCCAGGTAGTAAATATTTTATTTTTTTTTAAACTCTTTAAAAATACGGTAGTTAAAAAACATTCTTATCTCAAGAGCCATACAAAAATAGTCTATGGGCTATAGTTTGCCAGTCTCTCTATATTAGTGATATTTTCATAAACATATAAATGTTCTGGCTAGATTGCATGTGGTATAAAAGAGTAGATTTTAGGATTATGGGTAGAATATATGTTAGGTAAAATATCCTGAAAAAAGTTTCCTTGCTATAGAATTACAATCATATTAAAGGAATCGAGAAATGTGTTTTAGAAGAGTCTATCTCTTAGGCTAACATGCAGGAAGTGAACTTTTAGGAATATGTCATCCATCCTATCAGAAAATAAATAGTCATCTGATCCCAAGTCCAGGTACACTTGATTGGAAGATTAAAAAGTAATGATAATTTCAAAAAAATAAAAACTTATGTTAATATTGAAAAATCAGTAAGTTAAATTCAATAACCATTTAAAGAAAACAAAGTTTTAGAATTCACTGTTTTCCCATTGTTCGTCAGAAAGTATTTTCCTTTCAAAGATAGTCAATGTATAAAGCTTTTTAGCCTATATGTTTCTGATAGCAAAGTAAATATTTTCTAACTAAAGAAAACATTATATACGCTTACAGACATGCGTATATAATAAAATCCATCAGTAAGTCATGTGAGTTCTACCTGAAACATGTGCCCAAATTCATGCACTGTTCTCCATTATATTCCAGCCCCTAGCTCAAGCCACCATCCTCTCTTACCCGCACCATTGTGATAACCTCCTCTGTCTCCTGCCTTGCACTGTTAGCCTCATAATCCAAATTGCAGCCAAAGTAGTCTTTTCAAAATGTCAAGTCACTCCACTCCTTTTGCAAAGGATTCTCCACTGGCATCCCATCGCCCCAGGAATGAAATCGAAACTCTTCACTAGATCTTAGAAAATCCTCTACCAGATGTTTTTCATAGAGGTTCTTTCTAGTCATCAGTTCATTATTGCCATTTTAGAAAGACCTTCCTCAATGAATCAATTTATTTAGCACAACAGCCATATATAGACATGTTTTTCCCCTTGTAACTGTCATCATTTGTCATTCTTATTCTTAAGAATACGATTTTAGAAGACCAAGAGATTATCTGAACTTTCTCTCCTATATTCCTCAGCCTTCTTGCTATGTCTAGCACATAGTATGTGCTCAATAGATATTTGTGAAATTGAGTAATGAATTATTAAAAATGAAAGCATCATTTAAATCTATCTTGCAGGAGCAAGCACTGTTAACAATTTAGTATATTTCTTCAGGCATTTACCATAGTATGTATTTTTAACAAAACTATACTTCACATACTATTCTGTACCTTTTTTCCTCCAAATAATAACAGTAAAGTTTTATATCTAAATAATATTTAAAAATTTAAGAGCTTTTTTGAGGTATGATTGACCTAGAGTAAATTACATATATTTAAAATGTGCAACTTAATAATTATTCACATATGTATGTACATGTAAAACCATCACCACAATTGAGATAATTATCATATATTTCACCCCTAAGAGATTCCCTTTTTAATCCCTCCATCCTATGGCATCCACACAACTACTCCCACCCCTGTCCCCTACCAACCACTGATCTACTTTCTGTCCTGTACCTTACCCTGCATTTCTTAGAACTTTATACAAATACAATCAGATAGTTTTCATATCTAAATAATTTTAGTAATTGTATATGTAATTTTATCAAGACCTTTTTTTAACCATCTATTTGATATTCAATCTAATAAGATTTTTTTGTTGGTGGTTTTTTTAAGTCAGAAATTGAGTCTCGGTTTGGCTGGGGAGAAATATAGAAGTGGCTCAGGGCATAGACCTTTACTATTATCCTTTTGGATGACATCAGAGCACAGAGAAGGGAATAGAGAATAACATATTAAGCACAGCAACAAAGGTAGAGCTGGTCTCTCTTTGAATTATCACAAAAAAGTCAAAATATATATGTTGGATCAAAAAGGCAAAAAAGAATAAGGCTAGGAGCTGATGACTTGGCCTCCTTTCCCTCAAGCACTGGGATAATTGCCAGCTGAACAAAATTGGGATTCTGGTAGCAAAGAAGTTCATGGGAATGACTGTTGGGCAGTCAATCAATAAAATTCGCCATACATAATTATGGCCTCACGTGATGCTCACGTTAGTCTCACGTGTGGCAGCTTTCAATTCTCCACCTGGCATTTTCAGCCTATTGGTTTTTTTGGATGTACCTGACCATTGCTTACAGACTGTAGAATTATCTGCAATACCATTTCTCCATAGATCATAGCTGCTTCTGATTCATGGGGTTTCTCCCGGTCTTCCCATTACAAAAAGATCAATGTCCAGTTGCACTACATTTCTCAGCCCCTCTAAGTGATGATAACTAATGAAGCAACACAAGTTCATTGGTTTTGTGTTTCATTGAACTGAGAGGAATTGAAATTAGTTAAGCAATCCACACAATGTTCAATACTGTATCCAATTTCATTATTGAAGTTTACAACTCTGGTAAAGTCACTACAAATTGATTAGTATGATAGCAATCACCTTGTAAGATAAACCAATGAGAAATGTTCATCTCTATAAAAACTTCCATCTGGGAACTGAATAAAAGCCTTGGGACATTCTACCTATGCACACCACATGGATGCATAGCTCCTAATTGGTAAAGTATCATGCCGCTCAGAAAGCAGATTGAAAAGGACACACATTAACTATTAACTATTCTGTCAGCACATCCAAAAACCAGCTTGTCCCTAGAAATACTACCTGAGTACATTAGCACGGAAATTTATAAAGTTAAAGGATACAATGCCAAAAAAACTCCGTTTTAAATATTTCAATTTGATAGGCATCTTTTTAATTGCTAAATACAACTACAAATTTTTGGCAGGAGCTACTAGTACATAGATCGAATGGCTATTAAGGAGACCTTTAATCACACAGTATCATTTTAGGCAAAAGCGGCAGACCCCTACTTCTTTAGATAGGCTTCTTACCTTACTTCCCATGATTTTGGAACTAAATGGTTCATTTGCATAACTTAATGTGAAATGATAAGGGAAGGGAAACTCACATTTACTGAGCATCTACTACGCACCAAGCCTATAACAATGGGGAAGTTGCATAGTGTATTTTTCTCTATACTCACTTCAGTTACACTTGGGACTGGTATATAGGTCTTGGGCCATTGCTCTATTTAATTTAGAAGTTCAGGAAAAGAGAGAGGAGAAACAAGTTAGAAGAAGAATTAAAAAGTTAATTTACTCTAAGAAAATAAAATAGAAAACTATTTCATAAGGTTTAAGAGTATTTATATCTCTTTCAAATGTTTTTATCCTATAAAAACTCACATATTTTAAGATGCCTTACTTATCAAAACCCATGTATAGAATTATGAAATCATATCTAAATGGGGTTCTTAGAAGTTACCTATACTAAGAGACCTTGTAACACAATGGTGAAACTCGTGTGCTGTATTGCTGGGTGGCAACCAGTGCTACTTTTTGGCAGAAGAGTGATCTTTGAGCAATTTCTCAACTTGGAAAATTCTTGTTTTCTTACATGGGCTATTAAGATGATATTAATACCTATGTCGTGGGTAGTTAGAAATAAGATACTATTTGCTAAATCTTAATTCGGAATTTGACATCAAGTGAGTGCTCCAGAAATGGTAACTCCTGCTCTCACCCCCTTCTTATGCCCTTACCCGCTTCTCCTAATGAAGACGACAATGATGATGACAATGACCATGATCATTTTCACTGTCAACATCATCAGATAGTCCAAATCTCATCTGATGTTTAAACTTCCTCTGAACCAAATAGTCTTTCACCCTCCTCTTAAATGTCTTCTTAATCAC